TAGCGTCCCCCAAAGGGAGGAAAAAAAAAAAAAAAAAAAAAAAAAAGAGTACAGGTTTTGTACCATCTTTGCTGAAAGGAAGAGAGTGCCCATCGCAGCTACGATGGAGCAAAGCAAACAGCCGAGTGACAGAGGCTCATTTACACCAGGCACAGAGATGTGCATTTGCTACACAAGGGAACACTGAGCAGCAAGGAGAAAACATTTAAAGGTGTTTCTGAATGATGTTGGCAAGTGAAGACAGGAACAGAAGAGAAACCTAAAAACCAAAAAAGGCAAACCCATCAGCTGGTACCTTAGGACAGAGTAGCCGCCTTTGCAAGAGCATGCAGGGACAGGGACTGAAAGGACCTCTTGAGACACCCACCTCAGTTCTAAAATAACTCCACCAGACCATAAAAAAACCCACCACAACTTCAGCTTTTCTAAAGGAGGCAGAGGAGCTGGCAGCGGCCGGAGGCAGGAGCAGATCAAGGTTGTAATTACAGGGTGGAGCACCTGCAAGTCAAGGCCCTGCGACACAGACCGAGGGTGCCAGCTCTTGACTCCCTACCAACAGCCGGATGGCAGAGCATAAGGCTCTCAAGCACCAGCCTACAAAGCTACGCATCCAAAGCATCAACATTCCTAAATGCGTGGTATTAGCAAAATAATGGTCCTCTGTCTTTCTTCATTTAAAGGGCTGCCAGTCATTTATTAACTGAAACACAGAGTCCCTTGAACACTCATGCACACCACAGTCACGGTTTGCAAGGGACCGGGTTATTTCTCAGCTAGCAGAGCCCACAAGACCCTGGTGCCTAAAAGTGTAAAACAAAGATAACAGTGTTTCATCACAACTTTTTTAGGCCATTTCTTTCTTTGGCAAATCTGCCTGGCTACAGCTGCCTGGCTGCAGCAGGAACAAACGCAGAGAAGCTCTCGAAAGTATTAGCTGTCCAAGCTTGTTAAGCATGACTCAAGTTAACCACTACAATGCCGGGATGACAGAGGAATTTGGCAGTGAGTCAAAGGCAATAGGAAACACAGAGTCCGCAAATGACTAACTCTCTCCCCTGTGTCCCGAGCTGCAGTCAGGAACTCATCCCAACAGGGCTCCATGCAGAGGAGCTGCTTCAGAATCGTCATTTTCCCCAGCCCAAAGCACACTAATTTCCTCTGGCAAGGGAAGAGAGGTGGTAAATAAATAGCTGAAAACCTCAGCCACAGAGTTCATAAACCCTTCATAAAACAATAAGCAAAAAAACCTCTTTCCCCTGAGAAATTAATTTCTTACATTTGCTTTGCCTACAGAAATTGCTGAATGAGAAGTGCATCATACATGACAGAGTAAGGATGCTGCAAAGACAACAAACTGGACCACACAGCATCAGTCCCCTCCTGCAGCCCCAGAGCTTTCCCCTCCCACACGCTTGCCCCACAGAGCAGCACATGGTTCCCTGCTCCGTGCACACCTTGATCCCTGAAAAGCTCACCTATCAATGCATGAATTCGCAGTCTGGGATGAAAAACACAGCCCGTGTTTGTTTTTTTCCATTGTTTTTAATTCTGATATAATAAACCATGAAAAAAAGCTTCCTCTGAAAGGAAATGTGTATTAAGTGTTGCCCCAAACTGACATTCTTTTTCCAATCACCTCCGAAACCCTGTGCCGTGGGTAGGAGTCACATCCCGTGAGCTATATTTCAACTTCTGCTTTGCGCGCTACACACTCGCGTCTGTGAGATTAGCAGCGGCTATAGTAACACCTTCAAACTCCAAATAAACAAAAATACTAGTTATGTATAGTTCTGGTGCTTTGTCATTAACAAGATCTGGCTTGATTTAATGAGAAACAAAGACTGAGTTGCTCAACCTTGCCTTAAAATGCAGTCACAGCCTTTTCAAAACTGAACATCTCTGCAATCTCATTTGTCGGAACAAAGCACTATTAGTTAAAGCCCAAAATCTGCCTTTGCTCTCACTATGTCACAGAAACAAAGGTGGGATTAACCTTCCCAAGAGTCAGCAAGAAGCCAGTTATTGGTGTACAACTGTGTCAGTTGCCAATGGGTCTCGAAAAGGGTCTCAGTTGTTTCTTGGAGATGTCCAGGAAAAAAACAAGCTGGGCTGTGTCAGCTGGTACTGTCCCAACCAGGCTCACTCCTGAGGAGTGAGTGAGCTCCATAGGAGCTGAACTCCTATGTTCCCTGTGCTGCCTCCCTGGGGAGCCGCAGCTCTTGGCAGTGCCTCAGGTGGTACTGCAATCAATGGACCCTCCAGAGAAACAGGTAGAGCAGCAGTAAGAGAAGGATGCAGTTGCTCCCTGCAGACATGACAATGATTTCTTGCCTTGGACCAACCTTTTGCAGGGCATATGCTCAATTCTCCACCTTCTCCAGGGAGGTCAGCGGGATAAAAGATTCAGTGTTTTCACTAATCTTTTCCTCTCTGTTTTGATGCTAGGCTGTCAATCCAGCAGCTCGGGGAGATCTGGGGAAGGGCGATGTCAAAGACAGTGACATCAGAAGAAGCTGCAAGACTTGAGAGCACCAGAAAATAAGGAAAACCAGAGTGCTCACAGAGCATCTTCCTTTTAACTCTTGAGTTGGTGAGGGAAGTGGGCAGGAAGGCTTTTACAGTTAATAGCTACGCTTCTGCGGAAGAAAAGCAAACTCCCTGGAGGGAGCAGGGAGGAGATTGGCTTGACAAAACAACTCATTCCTCTGGAGGGATGAAACTGGACTTGTGTACAACTAGGAGCAGAGCTGGGGATGGACTCATGACCCCAGTCGTCACCCATCGCAGTGCGTCACAGATGCTCAGGCTTGAGAGGAGCTGCCGGCAGAGCAAAAGCCCAAGTCCTACCTTTTCCACAGCTCTTCAGTCAGGTGCCAAAAGACCTGGCGATGGTATTTCTGACACGCTTCCAACCCAAAGGAGATTCACGCAGGCGTGCTAATGCAGCTAAGAAAAAGTGGATGTGCACTTGGGGGTTTTAAACATACCTAAATTCAACTACTGCCAAGAACAGTTGAACTGCAAATTTGAATACACAGGGTTTATCTTGCTTAAGTGACCGGGAGGTAAGTAAAGAGATTGTGCAGACCAGAGCCTGGCCCAGGTCATACTTAATTGGCAGCACGTTCTCCCCTTGGTCAAGTCAGCCTGAAATAAACACTTAAGCTTCTGTGCATAGCTGGAACAGTAAATGTGTGTCATCTGTTTGTCCCGAATAGCACAAGAGAGAGCCCAGCTCAGCTCAGGAGCTGACTGCAGAGCTGGCAGCACTAGACAGGATCTCTAAAACAAAAAAAATCCAGGAAATCCCCAGTGTCTCTTCTCCCCACAAGCGCTTTAAAATGAGCTTATCCCTTGCACTTGGTACATGAGGAAGAAGAAACTTCCTGGCTACGAGGAGGGAAAACACAGTTATTAATAGTTCCACAATGAGCAAATATCAGAAGTTATGCTGCAGCCCTGGAAGATCTTGGCTGGATCTTGAAAATATCTGTTGCTATGGCAGTAACTGCTATACATGGTAACAGCAAACAGTGGTGTGAGAACAATTTACTTTTTGATGTGGTGCCCAAAACAAGTTCCTTTTGTTTTCTCTCTCCAAAAGCCCAAGCATTTATTAGCTTGTGTTCAGTCCAAAACTGAGCTTTTCACTCTCAGCAGTGGCAAGGAAGGCAGCAAAAAAGGGACAAATTCAGAAAGACGTCAAAGCAGGCAGTGTTCTCTCTGTCCTTCTTTTACAGCATGGACCATGGATTGGGGCAAAGATATGGACATTCAACTTCCCTTTGTATTCGATGTCCACCTAGACGGTCTTCATCTGCCTCCGCTTTTATCAGCAGCAAATACACTATATAGTATTTGCCGGTGATAAAAAAAACAAATAAGAGCACAAAACTGCAGAGGCACTTATTCTATTCCCAGGAGTTAGAAGCAAGGACTTTTCCGAGATGGGATGACCTGACACTCACTTAATATTCAACGTGACAGCAGACCCCAGTGGTGTTGTGAATTTTTCATTCTCTCCTCTCCTCCCCTCCATGCTGTTCACAACCCCCTCCTCCCTCCTGCAGCGCTGCTGAAAGCTGACCGATACTTTTGCAGAAATCCCCGTTACCCCCAACCTCATTCCCAAATTTCAGTGCTCAGGATTTCTTACCTCATTTGCTCAGAGCCCATCACTGCACACGTGGACCGCAGCACACTCTTCCCCAGCCATCGCTTTCAGCCCCTTTTCTAGGTCACATACAAACGCTGCGAGCAGCAGAGATCCCAGCCTGGCTCCCCAAGGGAATTCCCTCCACTGTGAAGTCTGCAGTCTACTCCTCTTCTTCGTAGCCTATCTTTTAACCATTTATTCACCCAAGCATCTCATGATGGGCTTTGTTTGGATACCCCATGCTGAAACCTTTGAGGGGGGTCCACTAGACCACTCCGCTGGATCACCCCTGCCACGTGCTCACAAACACCTTCCAAGTACCGATGGAGTGGCTCAATTTTGGTCTACAAAAGCCATGCTGGCTCTTCCGCAACAAGTCATACATTCCTACTCAATGTCAGTTTCTGGAAACTTTCAAGAACATAAGATACACATCTTGGGTGAAACCAACTGCCCCTCCATCCTGTCTACAGCTGGGACAACAGGAGAGGTTTGTTCAGCAGACCACATGAGCCTGGTCATACCCTCTCTCCATCTTCCTTATTCCCTCAGAATCCGCACTTGTATTTTGGATGCTAAAGGCACATCCCTGGATGTTCTTCCTATTGTCTGTTTCAGGCTGGCTGCCCATAAATTTACCCAAATGCTTTTTGAACCTGCTGACGCCTTTTGCATCCACAACTCCACAGGACAATTAATTCACAAGTCCATCACACGTTGTGTAAAATAAAAGTACTTCCTTCTACCTGCTTTAAACCAATGTCCTCTATATTTCATCAAGTGCCCCTGGTTCTAGCGCCTCAAGACTCGGTAGATAACATTCAGCTTAATCAGTGCCTTCATGATTTTGTATACCTTGATCATACGCTACACCAGACTTCTGTTCCAAAACGAGGTGTCACAAATCTTTTTCTCTCTCCTCATAAGGCAACTGCTCCCTCCCTCAGTCATTTTAACTCTCTTTGCAGCCTCTCCAACACCACTGTCCTTCTCAAGACACAGAAACCAGAACTGCGTGCAGCCCCCAAGATAACACACCAAGGTGTTACAGAGGGCCAAAATGATGCCCTCTGCTTTGCTGTTATCTCCCTTGCTGACAGTGACCAGAATTGATTGGCATTTTTTGGCTAACATTGCACATTGAGTCGATGATTTCAGAGAACTGTCGATGATGACTCCAAGCTCCTTCCTGAGTTCTAACCACTAGTTCCAGTTTCAGTATCATACAAGCCCGGTAAAGATAATTTGCCCCTACAGGTCCCCTGTGTTTTCCTATACTGAAGTTCATCTGCCACTTATTTTTCCATTTATTCAGTTCTGTGAGGTCCTTCTGGATTTCCTTACCTTCAGTGAGGTATCCAACCACCTGAAGGAACCAAGGATCCTCTGCAAGCTTGAGGACTTCACTGCACCCCTCCATGCCTGAGGTCACCCATAGGATGAAAACCAGTCCCAGGACCAGCTTCTCGGGCTTCACAGCTCACTCTTACCCATGCTGAAAAATTACTATTAAGCCCTACCCCTTGTGTCCTGTGCTTTTACCAGCTCTCAGGTCCATAACAAGACCTTTCCTCCATGCCCGTGACTTAAGTTTCTTAAAAGCCTTTGGTGGAAAACCTTGTCAAAGGCTGCTTGAAAACCCAGATATATGCAGTCTATTGGTCCTGCCACCCATGTGCTCATCAAGCTCCAGCAGGTCTGTGAGGCAGGGCTTCTTCCCTTTACATTAGCCCTGTTAACTCTTTTCCAAGAAACCGTGCTTGGCCATGCCTTCAGTGATCTTGTTCCTCATTGCAGAGGCCCAAGCACAGAGGTCAGTCTGTGGTCCCCAGGATCCTTTTGATAGCCCTTCCGGAGCAGTACGCCTGGCACAGACATTGAGCCACCTGACATGTACCTCCCTGATTTCCCCAAGATCCCCCTCTTTTAAAAAATGCCCTCGCATTTGCTGCCATCAATTTCTGTGATACCAGGGGCACTTAAGCAACAGGATACACACAAAAGTATCTCAGCAGTTTCAGATTTAAGATCCTGTGGCACTCTTGAGTAAACACTATCTGTTCCTTCCAGTTTCTTATCAGTTCCTCTGTTTGCTCTAAAGCTATTTCTACTGACATTCAACGTGAGACAACCTCTCAGACAGCTCTTTTGTAGCAAGCTTGTAGTCTGCAAAGCTACAGAGCTCCTCCACTGGAATCAAGACGGCCAAAAAATGGTTTTGATTTTTGTGACGGCTTTATCTTCTGTGCCTCTCACACCTTGATCTCTTCTGCTGCCTATTTCCAAAAGGTTTCTGATGCATTTGAAAATTAATCATATTTGGCAAATTTACCCTTCAAAAGTCTTATTCTGGACTGCCTTAATTTGATTTTACTTGCAATCTGCTGAAATACATGCTTTTTTTTGGTTGTCTTGTATGGATACAGCTTCCCCTTTTTGACCAATATCCTTCTCACTCTACCAGCCTTCTTTCCCTGCACATTTTCTTTTGTTTCATTCTTTAAAATAAAACAAACAAACAAACAAACAGACTTGGGTCTTTTCTTGGGGGGGGTAATCCATTCCTTCTGAGCTGCCATTATCGTCACCAGATAACTTCCATAACACCTCTGGTCCTATCAGCTACTCTTTAGCAGAAGGACAGAGCCGTACAAGGCAGACAAATATCAGGGCTCTTACTGGAGTGCAACAAGAGGCAGCCCCCTTTTAGCCAACTCAGGAGTAAGTGCCAGCTCTACGGCAGGGCACACACAAGTCTCATTAATGTTATTAATGCTGCCAGTCATAGAGAGCCCATCATAACCACAGGCTCGGAGTTATCCTGACTGTTCCTGGGCACATACAAACTGAGTTTTCACAGGTAACTGCATATTCCCAGTTTCCAAATGCCCAAACCGAGATGTGTTTCCAGTAGGAAACACATTACGTGACCAAAGCACCCCTTGAGGCAGCCACCAGATGAGAGGCAGAGGGGTCAAGGCTCCTCCTTCCTGGGGGAACACTGGACCACATCAAAGGGCAGCCAAGGTCCCAGGAGAGCAGCACCCCACGGCAGCGTCTCCCTTCCAGGGAGCAGCCACAGCCTGGACCTTCTCCCTTGTTCTTGGCACTGCTGAGCACACAGAGCTGCAGCCAAGGTCAAGGCCTGCATGGCTCCTGTTGAGGTCCTGCCAGAGACAAGAGGCAGGACCCAATTGCTAACAAACTGCAAAACAGGTTTAGTCAGCAACAGGGTTTAATTTAAAAAAAAAAAAATTAAAAATCATGGATCATTTTTTGCCTGAAGTGCAAGACAAATGAGGGTTTGTATCTCCCAGCTGTTCGTTCCTCTTCCTGACTTCTTCTGTCACAGCTTAGCAGGTGTGAAGTTGAAAGAGATGAAGCCTGATACCCCTCTGAACCCCAGCAGCACCCAATTTTCACAGCCAGCCACACTGACATTGCTCTTTGTCCATGGGCCCACGTGCCGCCTGTCCTAATGAAAGGTTCTACTTCCACGAGGACCAAGAGAGCCCTCCAAGCTTGGAACAGACACATCTCATGATTAAAGCTGTTCATGTTCATGGATGTCATTTGCCTTTTCCAGGGGAAACAGCTGCACCTTTAGGAGCGTTTACAGCTATTGCCCGATAGGAAAAGCAGCATAAGTTCCTACCACTGATAATGGCCCCAAAATGGTAATTTCAGGGGAATACTATTAATTCATATAAAGCCCCTCAAATTGTCTCTGCAGTCCACAGAAACTCTGTTTATCCCAGGTCTGGCTGGGATGCAGAGGACAAGAAAGTAGCACCACAGGCAGCCCCATGAGAAATTTGTCTGTTCTCTGGCCATCCCCACACATTCACTTGAAGAAATGGCTACTGCTGCTAGCAGTAGAGGTTTGGGCCAGGTAACAGGAATTAAATGCATGCCCTCCCCTGCCCCTGCCAAGGGCCCACAGCGTGCCATTCTGGGCAGGCACCGTGCACGCTGCAAGAACAGTGGTAATGGAGCCACCGCGACCAGCTGCAGGGGCTATTTTATTTCAGTGCCCAGAGTACAAGATGTACGTGGTATCAGGAGATACTCTCGAATAGGAAACCATGCTCTTCCCCAAAGAGCCTCCAGTGAAGGATGCAGCCCAAAACCAACACGGTCCGAGGACAGCTCATTGCCCAAGCCATCCAGGCCAGGCAGGAACAAGCACATCAACCACTGGAAGTCACCCATTTTTACATTTGGAGATGAACTCTGGGCTGTTTCACTGAACTATTTGGTGATCCCCACACTGTCCACCCTCTCTCACCTGCAGTCTTTGCTTCATCAGAGACAGCAGGGCAGAGAAAGCAGCCCAAAATGAAGTTTCTCTCTAGCCCCGCGACAAGGACGCCTTGCGCCGAACATGCTGGGTTACCGAAAAGCTTCTCCTCCCCCACACACAGACAGCTCTCACAGCTCAGCAGAACCTTTCCTTATCCAAACAGAGACAAAAGTGAGTGATTTCATCCCTCCAGGACCAAATAAAGTTTAAGCACACAAGTGCTCAGCCGTTACAGGCAGTGCTGGGTGGCCAACAAGGAACTCTGCCATCGCACTCCAAGAAGCCGTGTTCCTGGGGAAGAGTTACAGGGAGCCAGAGAGGCTGAAATCAATGACTTCTCCCCCTTTGCTGGACTCATCCAGCCCTCCTTGTTTCAACAACAGCAACCTGAACTAGCGTTCCCCACCAAAGGGAGCTCCGCCCTGCAGTGGCTCTCTGCCAGCCGCCCTCTCTCGCAGCAGGGCTTTGGCATTCCAAGCCAAAGCCTCAAAAACATACCCAAAGTCACCCCTGCAGCATGGTGTCCAAACCTGGCCTGACAGACCACAGGAGAGGGAGCTGGATGATAACATCATGGTACACTGAAAGCAGAGTGGTTCCCATGACTTGCTGCTGGTAGGAGGGGTCCCCTCTGCATTCCGCCCCCCCTTTCCCCATGGTGCATCCCCAGCACTCATCACACAAGGACACTGGAGCTCCTCAAATCCCACATGGAGCTATTTCAGCTTGCTCACTAAAAAGCAGACAGATTTCTCTTGCTTTAGCAAACTCAACCATCCTGGTGACAGGACCCAGGGGCAGAAGGAATTAGGGTGGCAGTGCACAGCTTCACCCCCAGATGATCATCGCTGTCTTTCTTATCTTTTATGCTTACCATGCCAAAACAGACTTCTGTTTTGGAAAAGCCTTCAGTCTCCAGAACCTCAAACACATGCGTTGGACTAATTCCAAATCACAGCTTTAGTGCATTTCAGCTGAGTTGTCAGACCAGCACCTACTCAGCAGGCATTTCCTCAGCAGCTTCTAAGCCCACAGTACAGGAAGGACCGCAGCACTTGCTTTTCACCCTAATTTTCAGTGATTTTAAAACTAACTTCATGAAAATTGAAGTAGCTTATCTCAGGGGCAAGCTCTCTAAGGGAGTTTCCAAGCCAAAACTGCAACTCTTCTGCCATGCGTGCTCTAATGTACGACTTGTAGGTGAGAGCCCAAGGGCACAAAGCTGCCCTCCAAGCCCCAACGCTACTTGCTTCACAATGATTTTACTGTACAGACTAAATGCAAGTCAGCCAGATCCCAGCCAGACTATTCATTGTATTACCATGGTATAAGCTGCTAAGAAAACACGCCTCCGTATTACGTGATTAGCATCCATTAGGCATCCATTAAGCACTTCCCATGCCAGCCGCACTCCAGGCTCTGCACCTCGGCCTCGCAGCCCTTTCACCATCTCTCTTTGCTTCACTTGATGTCGACTCATCACCAAGAATTCATAAAACACTTTGAGCTTCTCCTCTCACCATAGCTTAGAGAAAGGCTTGAAAAAAGATCCCAAACCTAATTACTGTAGCTAGGGAGCAAAGAAGAGCTAGACAGTGTGGCTGATACACAGCTGGATATTTGTAGCTATCAAAGAACTACAACATACACAAGGAGGAAACAGTTGCCGGACCAGAAGAGGGCCAAATATGGCATTTACAGTTTTACAACAAACTGAACACAT